TGTGACTTCCACTCAAGTTCACATGGAAAAAATCTAATAATAGCATTTGTAGCATTGGTGACTACTCTGCTTCAGTACCAGTAGGTGGCATCAGTGCTACACTTACAGCGTCTTGCCCAGTGAATCTGAAACACAAAACTGAAGCTAACACCAATATGACAGTTGTTGAAAAAGTACATGGCTTTGCAAAAGCAAAATTCTTTGTGCAACCAGGAAACACAATTTTGTGAGCAGTTGAGAAGGGAGGACTTGTTTCTAGATAGCTTAAATATATATGGATTGAATATAAAGGGAAAAATAATTAATCAGAAGTTTTGAGGAGTTTCTCTGTTCACAGAAATTTTTCTTTAATCTCTCCAGGCACAGAATAAGTTTTAGGACTGTGATAATTAATAGTTAATAATAGAACAAGACATGAATGTTCTAAGGCAATACTTTTAAAATGAAACTTACTTGGTTAATATCTTTAATCCACTTGTGAATAACAGCTTTCTTGGATGCTTAGTTCATTATACCAATTTTAATTTTTTTTAAGACTATCTCTTGATAATCAAAATGGAAATTATGTTGCCATAAAGGATAATATAATTTGGGCACTGTAGAATTGTAAACAAACGTATATCATTTCAATTGTTACAATATTCTAACTCTGGTATTGGCTGACTGGATATAACGTGTCTCCTGAAGTATGCTGCATGTGATTAAATATTGTGTTAATGCTTTTCTCAGGAAAAAGTCATTTTTTGTAAAATATCCAGTTAAGTTGGAATTTGCAACGATATATCCACATTGTTCAATGTCCATGAAAATCCCACCCAAACGTGGAATTTAACAGTAGGATTTTTTTAACTAACTTTGTTTCCTTAAAAATATTACCCATTTCAGAGAGAGTCCATCTGAAGGGTTAACTATAGGGATTGGGGAGAGCAGACACCTGGGACCTAACACCCAATTGGCAGTCTTTTGTAATATATAATTTGCCTAAAATTGCGCACTGAGCACAAGCTTTTGTTTTCTAATTGATTTACGGTTTGAGCCACTTTTACCTCATCCCCTACTGTCCTGCACACGGTGCCAGAAAGTACATTACAGTGAGAGATGATAAATTACCATGCACTTGTGATGCTAATGCATCAAGAGTAAAAACTGCATACTACATGGAGCTTCATGCATTAACACTGTTGCAAAGATACAGCCAAGCAAAAATTCATTTGTATCTTTAGAAATAACCATTTGTTCATTTGATCACTTACTGCAGTCTACCCATCATACTTAATTGAAATTGAAGATTAAAATTATGCTGTTATAGTTTTCCATTTGTTAATTGGAACAAAGTTTTAAAGTATCTTGAGAGCCAGATTTTTAGAATGTTTATGATAGATTAAATTACTGTATTCTGGATGTTTCTGAAAGAAATTGGACAATCTTTCTTCTAGATATGTGTTTGTCTACAGATGAGTTTAATGCAGCAAGCAACTAATATGTGCAAGGCACCAAAAAAACATTAGTAGTTGAGATTCCTGAAGTGTAGTATAATCTCTGCAAATAAACCTTTTATGGGAGGGAAGGCAGATTTAGAAATTCATCCTACATATGCGAAATACAGGAATTGTAAAATTTGGTGAAACCTAATGTATTTTTGTCTTAGGTTTTCTGTGGTTGATTTTTCTACCTTCTCAGAGTCAGTCTACCTTAAATTTTTATTTTTGTGTGGTGTCTGTGGGTTCCAGTCTTGAAATATGAAGAAACAGATTTATGGCGGCTGCTGGGCACAACAAATTAAGTTGACAGTGATGTATGAGAGCATAATAGCATGATGATCCCTCTGTAGCGCGGCTGGACGCCTCCTGCTTCATTTGGCTCTTGTTAGGATCTGTTAGGCAGCTAAATAATGAAATTCTGCAGACTGATTTCTGATTTTTTTTTTTTTTTTTTTTTTTTTTTTTTTTCTCTTTTCCCCTCTTTTTTTTTTTTTTTTTCTCTTTTCCCCTCTTTTTTTTTTTTTTTTTCTCTTTTCCCCTCTTTTTTTTTTTTTTTTTCTCTTTTCACCTCTTCTTTTTTTTTTTTTAAACTTCTATTTTCCAGACCCATCCTAATGCCAGCAAACTGCCTTTAAAGGATTCTTTCACTTATGATGACTACAGGTTGGTTTGCAATTTTTTAAGTGAATCTTGAGGTCCTGAAAACTGAGATGCTTTGTTGGGTATATGTATGGGAACCCTACTGTTACCATTTAAAATATCTATGTATATCATATTGCTATACTTTTTTTGAGAAATGCCAAAAGGCACAGTGAATAAGTGTGTATGTTTTAATAGTTGCAGAGAAATCTGTTGTGGGGAAAAATAGTTAATTTAAGCAAATGGAACATAAGAGCCTCATGTGCAGTTTGGATAGTTTTTAAATAAAGTGTATTAATCCACAGTGTAAGAACATTTTTACCAAAGGCTTTGTGCACATATTTCCCAAAAGGTAGTACAGTATATACAGTTATAGTCGGTATGAGATCTGGAGAACTTGTGCTGTACATGTGAAGTCTGAGTATCTCTTGGAGGTGTCAGAAATTGTGGGGTTGAGGTGAGGTTCAAGGTACTTGAGTTGAATTAAATGGTAAAATACCATAAATAATAAAGATTCACGAACTCTCCCAGAGACCTTGTATTCCTTTTGTGTTTTAGTCACTACTTTGGGATGGTGTGTCCACAGTCTGCCTCTTCCAGTGGGGGGAGGCCAATTTAAGTGTCAGGTTGATCAAAATATGAGTAATAAAGTGTACAGAAGTAATTTACTGTTCAGTTTTCTAGTTCCTCAGATCATTTTTATGGTGCAGTTAGTTGACTGAAGTGTAGTACCTAGAAAATTCTAATATTTTGTGTTATATAGGAAATGCACAGTTTAAAAAATGTTTAAGTGGAGATCTGAATGCTGCTTTTCACGAGGAGGAAATTTCTCATGTTCATCATTCTAAACCACGGGCGGGCAGTTATTTTAGGCAGAGGGCCGTTTACTGAGTTTTGGCAAGCCATCGAGGGCCGCATGACAAGCAGCTCGGGGTAGATTAATATTAATTTTCTAAACTTTTTAGGGGCCCCGCGGGCCAGATAGAATGGCCTGGTGGGCTGCTTCTGGCCCACCCCTGTTCTAAACCACTGTTTTAGACTGGATTGTATCTTATTAGCTGGCCAGGTTTAAATAATGACATCTTGAAGTTTTTTTTCTTTGCAGATGGGCAGTTTCCTCTGTTATGACACGACAAAATCAGATACCAACTGAAGATGGTTCTCGAGTTACCCTGGCTCTGATTCCTTTATGGGACATGTGTAATCATACCAATGGTCTGGTAAGGATTTCTTTGGTGTGATTAGGAAATAATATAACTTTAATATACTAAGGAATTTCAGTAGTGTATTTTAATGATGCTTTTCATTATGGTTCTTAAAATTGGGCTTCCATCTTCCCAGCTGACTCAAAAGCTGACATTCTAAAGCAATCTAATAATTTAAAGTTCTTGATATAGCAGTTTCACTTTCTCATGATTAAGTGTCTTTTAGATATAATTGTAAACAAGGTATAGTTACTTTTTCTTAAGTAAGTTTAACAAGTAAATAGCTTTGAGAGAATTATCAGTTATAGGAGACAACTTTCCTGTCAAATTTGAGTATTTCTCATTTTCATGCATACACAGTTTTGTTTCTGATAATTCTGCCCATGGTATCCACAAGACTAGATGCATTTTATATTGAGAATATGAAAACAGATTGATGGAGGTTCTCTCTCAAAGCCACTCTGCCCTGGGTACCACTAGGGAAAGAGGATTGAAATTTGAAGCTAAGCAGTGCTGCCTGCTCTCTAACCATGCCCAAAGAGCCTTGTTATGGAAGGTAGCAAGGACAAGAGCAGGGCATACTTCAACAAAATCAGTTTATCTGTTAGCACATCAAAGAAAAAAAGCTAAAATACAACTTTAGGGCATATTAAACATTTAAAAGGTGATGTGTATATAGAAAGTCAGACCTACTGACATATTTGTGTCTCATGAATTTTTACCAGCTTATAGAGGACCATGCCTCAGCTTCATGAAATGGTTGGTTAATGCATGAATTGAGGAGAATGGAAGTCCACAAAAGGATAGTCTACTGGCAGTTAGTTGATCATAAAGCTTCTGTCTGCTAAAGAATGCATACTTGATTTTGCATTATTTAGTGGGTTGAATAACTTGATGTAAACAGCAGTAAATGTGACTTGGTCTTCTCTATTCACGTAATAAAGTCCCGGTAAGAAAGTGTAGATCTGGATGACAGGACAGTGTATTGGCATAAGTAGAACTTAGGGAAGCAGACTGAAGTAGTAGTTTGCATATCTCTGTTAGCTTATGTTGCAGTAATATTAAGGTAATGTAGCCATGGTGGTCCAGGAAGAATGCAAGAAAGGGAACAATGATACCTGAAAACATGTCTGTCCTTTCCAGCTAGACAGTTGGTCAAGTAAAAGGTGTCTCCCACAAACTTCATTGCCTCCGTCAACCAGCCATTTGAGAATCTGGGCAGGTGAAACATTTATCCCACTTTTAAAGTTGGGGTGGGGGAGGCTTACTGCAATGTATCTTATTGCTGTAAACTTTTAGGCTACCTTCTGTGAAGCCATCCTGTGGAACCCAAAGCTCTCAGAGCTTGGAAGGTGACTCAGCAATATTTTTGTCTTTTAAGAAATTCACCCTAGAAAGAGGGGAGAGAGAGAGAATACATGTAAACCTAGACAACGAGGGTAGTATGCAGACACAATCACTTTCATTTTTTTACTGTTTCCCACAGGATCTAGTTCAAAATTGGTGTAGAGGGGACTGAATTTTGTTAACCGTTGACCAAAAAAAAAAGCTGTTCATTGTTCACTTTCTTTTCATTAAAAATGTAGACTGCTTAAATAACCAGCAGAAGGAAAAAATATATTTGCCAAGCTTACGCTTACACCTCTACTTTGTATTTTCATAATAGAAATGAGTAGGTCTTAACCTCTCTGCTCTGATTATGGTCCATCCTGATAAAAAAGCATTAAGTGACTATTTGACTCACTTGCATGAAAGTAAGGAAAAAGATAGGTTTTCATCCTCCATTGTCTGTTCCAAAGACGGTACTGAAATGCCACTTCAGTCAATCAGCTATAATATCCCTATTCTTGCTCTGTCCCACAATTCTCTTTTTTAGCAGCTTGATAATGAAATGCTCTTTCAGTTTTTTTCGGAGTTAGGTCCATCCAGCTTTTTCGTGCTTCTGACACTACTAATTAGATCAGCCTGCATCTAAGAACTATGTCAAAATGGTTGTCTTCATGCATTTCTCATTGTTATTCTTTAGTGGGATTGTATTTTGACAGTCAGAGGTTGATTACTGGTACTGCCAGAGCTTTGAATGAATAAGCTTAGTTTTGCCTGTTGGAATGAGACCATCTGTATCACTAACCAAGCAACTTGGTTACTTGGTCACTACTTGGGTGTTCTGCACAAAAATTAAAATTCACTAACTGGTTTGCTTCAGCAGTAAAACATAAAAGAGCCAACTTATCATCTATCTTCTGGAGAAGGAAGCAGCTTAGTTCTTGTTTTGTCTGATTCTTTCCTTCATGTAAATTAGTCTAGCACTATATTGGACTTTGCAGAACATTCCACTTGGAAAAACTATTTTTAAAGATTGGCAGTTTGGGGAAACACATTACAGCTTCCCCCAAGACAGACTCTTTCTGCCAGAATCTAGGTATTCCCTCTAATGTTTCAAATTTTTGCCTTGCAGTAGTCTTATAGGAGACTATAAGGGCACATCCAGACAAGTGCACACATGTAGTGGCGTCCCATGGGTATCCAGTGCCTGGGGGCCAATGCCTGCATTCACGTGTTCCCCTCCTCCCAGGACGATCTGAGCAGGGTGCGGGTCCCAAGGCAAATCAGCTTGTGCAGGGCCCCAGCTCCCATCCCATGGCACTTCTGTGGGTCAATTAGCAGTGCAGCACACCAGCTGTGGGGGGGAGGGGCGGTGCCTGGAATTGCTTGCCAAAACAGCAAAAGAAGCCCACAACATGGTGGGTGGGTGGGTG